GGCCAAGGGTAGAGTGTGCAGCCTCCAAAAAAATGACATGCTTTGAGGAATGTTATGGTTTACAAGCAAATTTCAGAGAACCAGATGAAAGGCATAAAAGACTGAGTGAATTAAAATACCACATAGAAAGCCTCAAGGCACTTGGTACAGGGTTATATATAAACAGCTTCTTGATCTGATATTTTCTGGAAACTTTCAGTAAAATGGGCTGAGTCAGTAGCCTAAACACCACTATCAACTCAATACTCAATGGCTTATAATTATAAACATTGATCAATTGCTATGAATAACAACAATAAGCAATAACTATCCTGAATAGCTTGACTGATAATAATTACTTAGCATTTGTTTTAGCATAACTATAGGAGAGCATAATCTTAAAAAATTTGTCAGGATCTTTCATCCTTCATTGCTTAGCTATAGCATCAGAATTCTTGACCCAGATTGGGCCTTTGACTGATTCATGCTGGAAGATTTTGAGCATAATCGAAACATCTCAGCAGCTTTTGACAACCATGGTTGGCAAAAAAGGCTTCCTTTAGAGGAGCATGTGAACATACATTACATTAGAGAATATAGATACATACATAGATACGTTAGAGATCATACAATAGAAACCAAACGGTAAGATATTGGTGGCCCAAGATCCAATTTCTGACTGCTTCTAAGGGTCATGAGTAAGTGAATATGAGAGCAAGTAGATGAGACGTGAAGGTGGTCAAGTTAAATCAGGTGTACCAATGGAAATACCAGGTACTACAAAACATCATGAAGCCAATAAATAAACTCATGCCATTTTTAGGCAATGGGAAGAAGAGTGGTTCTAAAACAGGCTAAAATGAAGCGAGAGACTTCTTCAGTAAACTTTGAACATAGACCAGGTCAACTAGAGACCTCCAGAGTAGATCTATGCGAGGGTGAGGACCAAAGCTCTAGTCCTAGGGTGAAACTTAAGGTCTCGTATATACAGGGTGTCCTGTAAATAGGTACCCATTTTTATTTCTTGAATACAAGCATACACAACTTTCCAGTTGAAACTTATATGGAACAGTTAGAGTAATCTTAGAAGTTTTGTTTAGTACTATGCATGTCCACCTTCTCTTTCAATTCATGTTTTTTCAAGAGCAGAGTTTATGCCATATGCACACAGTCCTTGGAGAAGCTATGAGATCATATCACTAATTTTGTTCTGGGCATATCCTGCGTCATCTGGGTAAAAGTTATGGATAATTTTGTTCATAGTCTCCAAACTTGCATTGAAAGAGAAGGTGGACATGTTTAGTACTAAACAAAACTTCTAAGATTACTCTAACTGTTCCATATAAATTTCAACTGGAAAGTTGTGTATGCTTGTTGTATTCAAGAAATAAAAATGGGTACTTATTTACAGGACATCCTGTATATTCCTAAACTTAGCCTAGAACTTGAGCAAGCATGAACCTAGCATATCTAAGTTCAAATAGTAATGAACAAATTCTTTACTTGCCAAATAGCAACCATCCAATATTTAAAGAAAAAAAAGAGGGCAAAAACAAGGTTCCAGGTATTTTGCAGAGAAAAGCAGATGCAAATGCAATACTTGTGAAATGGAAATTTAACCTACACACTTCTCATAAGAATTAGTTGGTCTTTCAAAAAGCAAAATGATATGATCAGAGGAAGGGATACATATGGATGGATGTAACTGATGAGTGAGGAGCAACTGAATGGTTCAACTTATCAATTCAACTACTAACGTCAACTACACGGTAGTTGCCATGTATCCCAAAGTCGCCATCGACACTTCACAACTCTCTGTCAACCTCCCTTGGGGGCTTGGAGGCCGCCAAACTCACAATGTACTGCAACACTTGTGTTATTACTGTTCTGAAAGTGGGGCCATCCCACCTCATTGCGTTCACTCCCTAGGCTAATCGGAATGAGGTTTGCATGTCAAATCAACATGCCTCGTGCTTGGCCAGCGCGAGGCAATAAGACCAGCATAAGGAAGCAACATGAATGGCGAATACGAAGGATCCCCACTCGGAAGTTGCCACCCATGGACATAAGAGAAAAAGTGGTCGCTCCGTCCATGTACATGCATGCGGAATAACGGCCGATTCATGTTTGTCATGTGTAAAGCCAAAGTGTCTTAGGCCATGATTGGAATAAAGATCCGTTGCCGTAGTATGGAGAAAATAATCGAACTAGCAATATAGCACAGTAGTCGCCATGACTACCGTGTTGGTGATGTAAGTTAAGTGCATTCTCATTTCATCTTATGGTCTGTAGGCCTAACAGTGTGTACATGACCGACTCTGGGTATTGTGTGTGCTAATTGAAGGAATATTATGCTAGTCACCTCAACATCACTCACCTCACAAAGATCCTTGGTGATTCTATTTTAGTCTGATCAAGGATACCAACAATTCAAGAATCTATGCTATCAGCAAAACTCTTTGCCAATTACCAGGGGTTTGTTAAGATTTCAGTATCAAAGAATTTCTGACTCAATCAAGCCACTCAGGTTTCAAGGGTTGAGATATGACATGAATATTTTGAACCTAATGAAATAGGCCTAGGCTAATTGTATCATAGGCCCTGATTTAACTTTAGGACTAGCCTATGGCCTAGGCACTAATGAGAGTCCAATCCTCTCTCCTGTGGCTGATCACAGCTCACAGAGTTAGAGGTAAAGCTAAAGACATTCTAGTAACGTTACACCTTTCCTAATATAAAAGCATTTGTGTGCTCTCACATGCTTCTTAAATAGACCTAGTCCTTTCTCTTTGATTGCTCATGATTCCATGCCGCAAGAATGGGAATGGCTGACCATGGTCCACTTTTAGTCAGTGTAAAACACGACAACGAGGAGTCTCGGCAGAGAAAAAAAGTGATGGCTGAAAATAACGGAAGGGCTCGAGCCTCCCGTTACGTCTGGGATGCAGACTTTTACGTTGAATAGTATGTTAGTGAGAAGCTAGGCCTACGTAGAGTGGCGTTATTATAGGCCTACGACGCTGCTTCATGAGTCACAAATTCATTTACCCAAAAGATGAAGATAACTCCGCATCAGAGACATGCCTCCCATTAGAGGTCAAGGACCTGTCGGGAATCGAAACCAGCCCAAGGTCCCATGTCCGGGAACGCTGGGAAAAATCACAGGTCTACGCCCCCTTCGTCACATGTGGTAAACTGACATGTCCATCTGGCACATAGCCTCAAAGTACCGTGGCAAGGAAATGCATTGTGAAACACCCAGCCACCTCATCCCTACCAACGGACCATGGCCGAGCTTGATTCGGCCGCTTTTAGTGGTCATCTTCGAATACCAACTTTCGTTAGGTTTTAGGTCAGGCAACTCAGCATCCAAATGTGAACGTCGGTCAGCTATTTAGGTGTAGAGGTATTTAAGGCAGATTCTCTATTTCTTCGCGTGAAATACGATGAAATTCGTTTCAAACTGGTTCTTTTCATCCGATGGGTGACACTTTCTCTGGCTTGAAACCCCAGAAAAGTAGCGATGCCGTCTTTAATTTTTTTTTTTTCGTAAAAGCGTCGTTTGAATTCGCTTTCGAAAACATTCTGCTGAACTCACGGGTAAGTAAACGTTCATCGTAAGATGCTTTTTCTTTCCCATGGCGTTTAATAAGCGATTCCCAATGCTTGCAAATTAACCAGCAACAGTCTTGTCCGCGAATTGAAATAAAGCTCGGGTGAGCACCTTCGATGCCAATCCTACCGATCATTTCCAATATTCCGTAAAATCTACCAATTTCCATCGCTAGAGTTGAATTTCTTGCTTCAGAAGTTGTCACTTCAATAAAGGTCAGCATTCCATCAGCCCATTGTTACTCCTTCGAACGGACTATGATAGTCATCATTTACAGATGTATCATTATTCACTCATTCACGCCAATCACCTCTAGATAGGAAAGGTCTAATTGCGGGGAAACGAATACCTCATCGATCTCACCATCCATCCTAATGGCCGAGATCCATTTCCATATCCAGAGGGAGCGACCCCACGGGAGTTGCCGATGGGAAACAGGGCGGCTCCACCGCTGTGCGCTGCCACGATCTCGATTTCGTCTCCGAGAGATCGGGGGACAGTTTTCTTAGGCTAGGCGAATCGCCACGAGGGAAATCATACCTGAGGAAATGGAAGATTCCCGATATCCATAGGTGGTATTGAGGAAGCACTGGCACCACGTTTCGATGATGTAATGCGGTGGTTCGCGGTGTGATAGATACGAGGTGGAATCTTGGGCCCGTTTTTTTTTAATTAGGTGGAATGCCATGGTCATGTTTTTGTTCGTCTGACTGCGTTTTATTCACCCCCCCCCCACTCACCTCATTCGGTGTATAAAATGAAGCTTGTTATGCTTCGCTGCATATACCAGCCGTGAAACGCAACGTTCCACTTGTTTGTTTTGTTTGCCCAGATTATTCCGATCGAAAGTGAGGTTCTCCGAGGAAACTCGCCTCATCGACCAGGCCTGCCTCTGCCCTCGCGGCGCCTGCACGGCGCTTCGGCTCGTGACCGACCAGGGTTGCCAACTCTCCCGCGTTTCTCTCGTTCCTTCCCGATTTGAGGAATTGCCGGGTGATGGGAAAAAGCCTCGAAATGAAAAATGAAAAATCCTCAAAGCTGAAGCTGGGCCCGGCGCTTCCAGATTTCCCCCCTGAAATTCATGTCGTTTCACGTTTTCGTCCGAACGACCCGTACTTGCACTCGCACTTCGCCTTGCGAAAGTTTTCAGGACTGGCTGGAGGAACAGTTGGCCGACGGGGAAAATCGAGGCGGGATTTATCGTGCTGTCGGGTCTTGGGGCGAGAGCTTTTCGTCTTCGCTGTCTCGCCTTTACTTGTCTTGAATCTACTACAGAGTTTTTCACTCGAGTCAGACACTTTTTTCGCTCGACTCGGACTCTCATGCATGAGGAACGTCCCATGTCCGACTCCAGTGAAAAATCGCCTGACTCAAGCGGAAGACACAGTAGTAGAAGTGCTAAAAAAATATGGAGCTTCACGTGGAAACCTCCCGGTACAGCCTCGAGACTCTCTCCCTCATGGAATCCCAGGCGTTTCGCAAGAATCGCTCGCCCCCCCTCCCCCTCTTTGAAGGCAGAGCTAGCACGCCTTCACATCGAAAACGGTCTGTCATCGCCGCCATTTAAAGGTAAAATCGGAGGCCTCTGTCCGCAAACGCCTACTCGCGCGTCAAAATAACCGTCGATCGATACAACTCCTCGTCTCCAGATCGTAGCTGAGGAATCGAAGGCGACGGGAAAATATCAGGCCATCGCTCGTCGAATTCGATCCCGCATCAGTCGATAGTTAGGCTCCATTTATTTTGCGGGTGTGCTGTATGAACGGTTTTCGCCTCGATGTCGTTGCGTCGATGACTTCGCCCATGTTTCGTCGACGTTGCTGACTTCGGTATATATTTCTTCAAAATTCGTTCTCTTGATGCTTCAACCGAAGTTCGCACGAACTGGCCCTTTCTTGCGCGATTTCTCATTTCCTCCACGATTCCATTGGCAACGAAGCGATCGGAAGGTCTTCCGAGTCCCAGACGGAGTATCAGAGGCAAAAAGACCGCCGAGTAACACGAGAGTGAGGAATCTAGGAATTACGAGCGACTTAAAAATAAACGATGGAAAGTAACTTCTCGTCCGTTTTTCGTTTTCTGAGACCGACAATTCAGACTTCATTTTTGCATGGAAAGCGCAACGTTTTCTCTGATGGAACTCCTTGAATTCCAATAATAGGAAGTATGTACCGTCCTAATGAGCGCAAACAAAAAAAGATTACTCTGGGGTCGGCTGCGACGTTTACATTCGTTCATGCGTGCACCACGCTATAACTGTCACATTCAGGGCTCCACAGGCGATCCCAGTCGTCCAGGGCGAGGTAGAGGAGCAGTCGGGTCATATTCCTGTCTCGGGTGGCGGTGGCTCGGGGCCGAGCGGGTCTTTGGGCCGCGGAGCCCCCGCGGGTCCGCAAGCCGCGCAGTCGTCCCTGTGGGTTCGGGGATTCTCAGATGGGGTCTGGGTCTTGCCAGACGCCTTCCTCCGGGGGGGGGGGGGGGGTCGGAGTCTCGTGGAAATGTCGTGCCACGTTGCTCGCGCATGAATCGGTGAATCGGGAGTGAAAATATTAATTCGGGGAGTGACGATCGCCAGAGATGGTGGGAAGCAAAAAAAAAAAAAACAGAATGTCCAACGTTGTTTACATATACCCCTCCCCAAAAGTGACTCTTGCAACTCGCTTAACTACTGCTTCAAATCAATGCTTTCAGACGTCTTTCAACCCTTCAAAGAAATGTCTCGGCAAAATTGAAAGAACCTCACGCTCTTGTGATCCTGCATAACGACGGCCATCGTGAAACATTCATCTGAAGAATATTTACGTTTTTATTAGCTGCAGAGTAAAGCACCAAATGCTTTCCAATTCAAACATGTTCAGTTCAATTCACTATCATGACTTCCTCCAACTTTTCAGGGAGACAAGATTTTCTGCGCGAATCTAATATCCCAGGAATTATGTGATTTACACTGCTGCCAGTAAAGGCCTTTCCCGCGTGAAACTTTCCGCACTTTTTGAGGCTTAATCCTTTTATGTGACAGATCAAATGCTCGCCAAGTTAAATATAATCGAAACGGAAATCGCTTATAAATTTTCGGATTTCGAGAAGCAGAGGTGAAGCCCCCTCTGAAAGTTCTGCATCCTCTTTTTTTTATAACGAAAATATTTTATTCCACTCAAAAGTTTGAGCTTCGACAAGTGGCGAGAAAAAAAAAATTTTTTTTCTTCGAGTGGATTGAGTTCTCTCCTGCACTTGACTCATTTTCCGTATTTCCCTATCCAGGTCTCGATAATCCTGCTTCCCACGCCTCGGTCCCTCTCACACCGCCATTTCCCAATCTGGAAAAAAAAAAGAGAGAAAAGATATTACCATGTATGCATTGTACACAGGTCCTCGGAAGTCGGCCGAGTTCCACAGATCCTGGGAGGAAACCGGAGGGGAAGGGGGACCTCGCAATGCCAAGGAAGGGATGTGGGACTGTAGGAGAGCGTGCATGGGGGGAAGGGGGGGGGGGGAAGGGAATGCATATACACTTCTTCCTCCTTCCGCGTCCTTCCTTTCTTCACTCCTCCTCCTCCCCTCGAATCTGTTCCCAATCAGCGCCTCCCTGACAGTCGGCGAGAGCGTGCAGCTGCGATCGCACGCTGCATATTCATGCCGGAATCTCCGTCGTGGAAACGGAGGTTTTCCTTGATAGGAGCGGCCGTGTGGCTCGTGAGAAAGCGGATATCACTTCTGCCCTTGTCTGCCGGAAACGAGGCCGATAACTACCCGGGCGTTGGAATCTGTCCTTTCTCCTCTTTTCCCGTTTGATCGTGCCTCGCGCTGACTGCAATGCCAGCATCCGGGAACTGATGCCGGCAGGACCTCGGTCTACTCATACAAAAGTGACTTCTGCTTCCCCCGTGTCGCCGTAACGCAATACGACTAGACTCGTCCCCGTCCCCTCCTCTAGCGTGACAGGCAGACCGCTTTTGGTGTTGAAAAAGCCTCCAATAAATATGGCGGCGCGCTCGTGGCTCAGAGTGTTGAGGACCCGCTGTTCGGTGGTGCACACATCCAAGACATATCCGTTTTCTGTGATGGAAAGATTCTTTCCCGTTCTATTCGTTGTTTATTTATTGGTATCCGAGCGGACTGTGTTTGCACAGGACAGGTTCTCCACGCACGGAAGAGTCCCGACTGACCCAATCTCGTGTTATGACGAGAGAAACCAAGCTCAAGTGAGTATAGGCACCAGTTTTAATTTGTAAGGCTGTTCTGCTTTTCAACTCGACCTCGATATGTTCTACTGACAGTAAGGCCTAACTGCCAGCCTCATATTAATTATCCAGGTCTGATTAGTTTACCGTACGCCGAGTTTTACTGAACATGAAGAATTTCTTATTAATTTGGCCACTGAATTGAAGCAGGTAGGGGAGAGGAGATCACTTCCGTTGGGGAGATAATTACATTATAAGGGGTAATGTATTTCTTCCTGGAAATCTTGTTGCTTTTTTTTCCCTTGCAGCCTAGAAGCTCAATTCATTTTCATTGATACTGCTGATAGAATCCCAATCATGCAGGTTTTCTGAGATATAATCAAGTCCAAATTACCATTGAAATGGAATATTGGTTCTTGAACCAAATCATGACTCTCCTAATTTTGAACTAATTCATCATTTGTGTGTATTTGTGAGAAACTTTATGAAACAAGCTCAAATTAAATCATATATCAAGAAATCCTCCCCACAAAGTCATATTTTTATTTTTCAGGTACAATCCTCATTCTGCCATGCATTTTTATATGCCAGTATATCTAGAAAATATGAAAAAGGCTCAAGTCTTGGTATCACATCGAAATCTTGAATCAGATTTGAATCATTCATGTCTGATTCAAATCATGACATTCTTTGGCAATAAATCTTGGATTGAGTAGTGAATTCTAGTCATAGATTAATTACTGAGTTATTGCCTCTTGAACCACTAAATCAAGTTGGAGGTGAATTTCAATAAGTTTTAATCAGTAGTTTGATCATTCTGTTTTTATTTTTTTAGAAGGAGTTTTCTGCAGTTGTAAAGGCAGGATGGATAGAAAAGGAAGGCATGTCATTGAAGATTTTGGCTTTTATGATAAAAATGATATGGAGTGGTTTAACCATGGACTATTGTGCAAGAAGAAGCTGGTATTTATGGATGACATCATGTGGGATTATTTGAGGGGTAGCTATACCTTGAAGAGAATGATGTTCATAGAGACAGTAAGCAGTGTTGGTCCCCATTAGGTGCAATGAGTCTGGGCATGTGGATCATTGGATCAACTTGTAGGGAGTCTTCATGAAGTTGAATAAGGGTTTGGTTCAATCCCACCTGCTTTCATGGCACTCAATTGCAGTCTTCAACTATTAGAACAGGGTAGTGTGCAGGGGCCTGGTTGGCAGTTTCAGATGCAGTTTCAGTGAGGACATCTGGAGAAAAGTAGAAGCAAGCAAATAAAATGATATCTCTGATGGCTGCAGGTTGTCCCAAGAGCCTGGCCTCAAGATTAATCAATACATTCACTAAAGAGTTACAATGCATTTTTCCCCCATGTCCAGACATGCATGATTAATTGGAAGATGCTCAAGCCACTCCTGCTGGATCCTCTAAAGAACATCTCAGGTATTTGGAGGCAGGCCTTGGTGATGTGATTCTCCAGGAGTGGCTTGAGCTTCTACAACTGCATGTATACAAGGGGGGGGGGGGGGAACATATTGAGCACATGTGAATAAAACCATAACTTCCTGAATCTAGACTTTAGGATACCCAGTAGTACTGCTATATGGAAGCCAGTCATGACTAAAGGAGTTTAAGTGTGGTTTCACTTTAACATTGCTTTCGCTAATTTCATCTTGTGGGGTGGGTGAGCCCATTGATGCAATCACTGTAGTACTACAGAATCTAAGCTCGGGATCAGCTTCTTAGTCAGGAGAAAGACAATATACAATCCAGACTGGGGTGCTTGAATGAGAGAATTTCAACAAACCATTCATGTCTCCTCATCTCCAAAGCAAAGCAGAGTGGAGAGTTTGGCCTTCAAACTGTTGCACTGAGGCAGCATAAGTCTCATTCTCTCTGAGACCCGATGGACAACTTGTCTTTCTTTTTCCCTGGTATTAACTTCTTTTGCAGTCATGTTTTGGTTGTTGAGCCAATGTTTGTTGAGAGGTAATTATGAAGTAGACCATTCTCTTGAATCTTCTGGTGGACATCGCCATAATGGAGAAAGTCACCTGAGAGTAGAGAAGAACCAAGAGGAAACTATAAGACAGAGATCAATGTCAGCAACCGATTCTCGAGAAATCCCGGACAGAGAAACTTGTAGCTCCGATAAGTCAACATGGTGCCTCTCTCCTGCGCTCTTGTTTCATTTCCCATACCGATATTGCGCCTTTTTTAGACTGCCCCACCGCCTTCGTTCCGCCTTTCCCCCCCCCCCCCCTTTCCCTAAATGCCACTTCTGTGGCATCTTGACCAAGCCCTTCGCTTTATTTCGGAACCGAAATCGACAGTATTGAATGTTGAAGTTTTGCTTTTCACGTATAGATCGGATTCGACCGCGTTTGCTGTCGTTCCTTGTCAAGCAGTTCCAGTCAGTTTTTAGATAATTGACCCGTGACTCCACGGCTATCCGGTATCTGGGTTTTTGAAGCTATCCGCTTGGCGAGGCACCATTGCACGATGATTGCAACGTGGAATTACCTGCCTCTTTAATAACACGGATAGTCTCAGAGCAATTACCCAATGCCTGGAATCGGATTTGCAAACTCATTTTTGGGTGCCTTTCCGGCTTCCCTTGCTACCTGCGAGTGTAAGGGTATCGCATGTGTATTCTGACGTAACCAGTTTGTTTTTTTTAATTTCCGGCTAGGATATTACAATTGATGCCTCGTGTGAAATTAGCTTCATTCTTAGAGCATAATTCGTGTAACTGAAAGACAAAGCTGGTCGCGCAAAAACCGTGGGGAGACGAGTCTGACCCACTCTCTTTTTTTTTCCAGCACTGCGTCCCGGAGTTCATCAACGCCGCCTTCAACGCCCGCGTGGAGGCGACGAACACGTGCGGAATGCGCCGCCCCCAGGAGTACTGCATCCAAGCCACGCAGACCTGCACGATCTGCGACAACAACGACCCGCACGAGTCGCACCCCCCCGAGTACCTCACGGACTTCAGCAGCGAGCGGAACGAAACCTGGTGGCAGAGCGAGACGATGAACGAAGGGGTGGACGTGGACGGCCGGATCGGACCGGGATTTAACTACGACCGAATCATCGACCAAGTGAACCTCACCCTCAACCTAGGTGCGTCCAGAAACAGCTGATTTTGACGCGAAATGCTCTCTACCCTGAAAGACGATGAAGGAACGAGCTGTTTAGAGCATGCAAGCCCTGATCTCATCCCCAAGCCTCACCAGACCTCGCTTGTTACTCACTCGCTCCGCTCTCATTCCCCCCAGCCGACTCTCCTGTGCCCATGGCCTATATGACTCCCAAGCCCCACCCTCAGTGGCTGTCTCTTAGGATCTCTATGAACACTTCCCCTTCCCTATCTGTCATCCCACCGTGTGATGGCCATTTCAGCCCTCTACCCGCCTTCATAACAGTTGGCGCCGAAACGGGAATATATGCGTTTATTCAGTTTGTTGTTTTACTGAAATGGAAAGGGGAACGAGACTGATGTATCGAGCTGTAAAAAAGAATGGAATGGAATAGACAGTTTTGGTACGTTCGGTTCTCGGCCGGAGATCCGTGGTCATCCTCATACTGACATTGCCGCCTAGGGCTGACAGTGCCCTGTTGCCGGAATATTGTGGTTATTCGCGACGGTATCACATTGGTGACAACATTGCCAGCCCCATTCACACAGGCTGGATTACCCGTAGGGAAAGATAATTGCGCAGTGACAAATCTCGAGCGATTTTGACCCAAGATTAATTGCAAAAAATATTGTCCATGTAGAGCATACTTTAGGAGAATATAGGGCATCTCAGTAATGCCTCATGCCTTTCATGATTGTCATGTACATGAATAAATAAGAAGATATGGATTTACATAGAAGCTCACACTCAAGTAAACAATGGTGCTAGACAGGCCCACTGCTATTTCTCTCAACCAGAATCTATTGCTAGCAAATTCATGTGTATGAAAGAGGCCTGGAGTCAGTCCTTGTTTTCCTCTTTAACATTTTGGATGTCACTGCTAGTATGGTATTATGAATGAAAAGGGACTGGTTCTGCTTCTCCTGTTTGTCAAAAATTACATTCAAGAAGTTTTTGTGGGGTGGTTTGAAGAGGAGTGAGTGGGCAGAACTTGAATTGCAGTCTGTAACTGATTGTATTCTCTTTGCAGGGAAAGCCTATGAGGTAACATATGTGCGGCTGACTTTCAAATCGTCACGACCAGAGAGTTATGCTATATATAAGCAGACTCATCAAGATGGACCATGGATACCCTATCAGTATTATAGGTAACAGAACATGATGAATATTCTTGGATTAGGATTCACTATGAGTTTCTAGAGATCTCTGAATGCATTTGTCTCCATCTTCCAGTACTGTGTGTCGTGATCAATATGGCATTGAGGGAGATGTGCCCATCCGGAGAGGAGATGAGGCTCGTGCATATTGTTCATCTGAATACTCTGACATCTCCCCTCTGACTGGAGGATCTGTGGCTTTTGGTACTTTGGAAGGCAGGCCTTCTAACCTGCAATTTGAGCAGCATCAGCAGCTACAGGTGAGATTTTGAGGAATATGACAGTCATAGATTGACCCACATAGAGGATATAAGCTAAATTTCCTTATTTTTGTTCCTGTTCTAGGAATGGGTGACTGCTACTGCCGTCCGGATCACTTTGGATCGAATGAACACCTTCCGTGATGAGCTGTTTGGAAAACCAGAAGTCTTGAAATCGTATTATTATGCCATCTCTGATCTTGCTGTTGGTGGCAGGTGAGGGATACAATGAGCACTCTAAATAGTCTTGGCTTCAAGAAGATACTATTTGGCCACATAGTGTGGTGCATAAAATAATTTCCTTTCCCTTTGAGAGTTTTCACTAACGATAGAAAAATGCTATTCTGATTTCCTGCAATGTAGGCCAACCCTATTTCAAAGAAGATGTTTGAAGGGGAGAGGACAATGGAATTTTATTTCTGCATAAGGCTGTGCTTGTCTCAGGTGCAATATTTCATCTATGTAATATTTGTTGTGAAGCAAAACTTTCTCATACTCTGCAAGTGCTTTTGTACGAGCAGAAGATGGAACTTTAGCCAGTGCTGTACAGAACATTCTGGAGACTATGTATTAGCTGTGGATGGCTATGTGCTCCAGATTTAATCATCATCCTTATTTTATTTGGGGTTTTATCTGATGATTTGAGGTTTTTCACCTGTCTGCCATTGTATTGGAAGAGCAAAGTGCCATTATCTAAACTTCACATTTATTGTAGTGATTCCATTGTGTAGAATAATTACTGGTTCCCTGCAAACAGTATCACATCATCATCCAGAAAGAGTTTGCATTTCTCAAATCCCATTTGTTTTTGCACAGTTCATTCATTAAAATATAGAAAATCTTGGAAATATAAGGCACTTTGTGCACAATAGACATGCAATGAAGAGTGCAATCACATTGCCAATGACGTCTATATGGCAGTGGAGCCTTTAAAATGGTATCTCTCCAATGATACTTTGTCTTGAAAATTCCAATGTCAGCAAGAGAGTGCATGAGAAGTTGTCCAGTTAGAAGTGAGGAATCATGGCAATTTTGTCCTGTTTCATGCTCTGCTGCTACTATTTCCACCTCTCATACCCTGGCAAGAGGGCACTATGAGCCCTAAAGTGACAATGACAGTTTAAGAATGACTGCTAATCTCTGAAAAGTCTCCCCTTTCCCTCACTCAGGCCTTCTCTTTTCAAATTATATGGCTAAAGTGGCTGCATACTTTCTTTCCATTTTGTGGTCCCACAGTGAAATGAGTAATGGAGCAGGCAAGGGGGGGGGGAGGGGGGAAAGTATAATTAATGCAAATTTAGGCAACATGAATCTTTTGATTTTTCAACGTAGCAAAGAAGTGAGCCCTTGCAATATCCGTGTGGTTTGAGAAAAGTGAATTGATGCTATTTCAGAGTAAGCTGGCTGTTGAAGCCAGAGTTTTGCTACAGTTTGTGATTTTTAAGAGATAAGTGTTAAGGGTGCCATATACCAAGTTAATTATACTGAGGGGTAGGCCCAGACTTCCTGTGCTCACTGTAAAATATATATTAGACTGAGAGAAAAAAAATTTCACTTCTAGTAGCATTAATTTGTTTGTCAAAATCTGTTCCAAGTTGCAAAATAAGACCATTTCCTGAAGAGACATGTAAGCTGCAGCTTTTATACTTAATTTGGAGTCACTTAATTATAATTTACTTATGTGTAGTAAATTACAGCATGTTTTCATTCCCTAAGAAAATATTGGGAAATCTGGGTAACAATTGATAATGGGATTGATTCACTGAAATGGTTTATTTTTCTTTATAGGTGCAAGTGCAATGGCCATGCCAGTGAATGTATTCTGCGCCAAAACCATTATGGAGAGATGCAGCCGATCTGCAATTGCTCCCATTTCACTGATGGTGTGGACTGTGAAAAATGCCTACCATTTTACAATGATGCTCCATGGGGAAGAGCAACCAAAGATGGTGTTCATGAATGCAAACGTAAGTCTACATTTCAGGATTCATATTGCTCCTGTTCTAGGTGACTATAAGAGTCCACAGGAGTAGTACCACATCCAGTTGCTGTTTTAGTCCCAAGTTTAGGTGATGGTAGGGAAGTCAGGGCAGCTTTTGTTTATTGGATTCCTTTAGGACTGCAGTACCCAGAAAAGTTGGAACTGGGGTACCTTGCACTTGGTTCTGCAGTAGTTAGGAAAAACTGATCCCTCTTTTTTGTTGGAAAGGAGCGAGGTGGAAAGAGCAAAGAGTATACATTTCAACTCAAAGCACCTTGTAGCCAACTGGCTCTGGCATATCTCTCTCCAAACCTTGATACCACAGAAAGGCTTTTGATACTTTTGGTTTTTCACTACCTTCAGTTTTCCAACACTTTCAGTGCCAATCGATGCTATGATTAAGCTCTGGGTCCTGGACCATGAATCAAGAATACAATGGTATTTCTGTATTACTGGAATGCTACATTTCACGCCACATGCTAGATTCTATGGCACTGAAGTGAAAGCTGCTGACAGCAAGCCTTTTTATATTGTTTATTAAGAAAACAAGGCTCTTACTACTTGTCTTACCACTAGTCCAGTGAATAGTGTAATGAAACTGCTTTGACCCGCTTCCTGCCAGAACTGAGACTACAAAAGAGATTTAAGTCATCAACCTCAGTTATTTTTCCAAAGTCTTGTGTTGTATTCAGCTCGATGAAGTTCATCTGGGAATATCAGGGAGCCTGTGTGAGATTATTATTAAGATTGGCTGATTTTGATAATTGGCCAGTCAAAAGTTAGAAAAATTGAGGCATCGACTCGGGCTTCCGATGCAGATTCTTCATTTTAGATGGAGACCTTCACAGCCACTTATGGCATGGACTTGTGCAGTTGATATGTGAAAATTAACAAAGTAATCGAGCAAGTTGATGTTAACCTAAGAGGAGTACTGATTGCAAGCCACAAATTTCTCAAATCACGAAACATGGAACGGCTCATCGGCACTCCGCCTCAAAGCGAAGGCTTCCAAATAGAGATCTGCACGGGCCGAATTAGCGTCCCCTAGCTCCACTGGCTCGAGGAAAATTTTCAGCCCGAGCCCAACCCTAAGGCTGAGATCAGGCAAGTTCAGGATAAAGCGACCGAATTCTTTCCCGAATCGGCCGATTTCGGTAATCTCCCAAGTGGAAACCGGCCGATTATCTGCAGTAACTACTGCTTACGATGGAATGGATCCGTTCTTAATGGAAATTCTCTTCATGGCGAAGCCAACTTCATTTTGATAGCCCTGCACCATCCGGATGTCTCTGTTGGTCTAAGATTGATTCTTGCTCATTTTATCGGTGCAGAGACTGCGAAAGAGAGTCATTGTGCATCTCTCCAATGGTCGGAGGTTGGAGATCAGGTAGATAATGAGCATGTAAGACCGCTGCCCATAGGCACAAACAAGCGGGAGTTTTTCACAAGGCCCGTAGGGCAGGGACTAAGGGAACGCAATCACAAGCCATCATCTCGGGGGCAGGAATTGCCAAACATTCCCCCCAGGCCATTCGGTCTTCCTTCCATCCTAGGTTCCTATCGGATCATCCCGTTTCGTCCGTCTAGTTATCCCTTACCGCCTAATCCTGGGATCATTATGTTCGGATGCGTCATTCGTTGCTATTCCTCACTGCCGCTCTCTCAACTCGGCTTCCGTGTTCTGGTCACTATTAAATGCTGAGGTTGCACGTGCTTTAAGCTCTCCTATGCATGAGGAAGGGAATGTTTTTGGAGACTCACATTTTCGTGACGGGAGACTTGAGCCATGTTGCGTCGGACGAGTGGTGTAGTCAGTGTGGCGTATGAGTCCGTTGAAAGGTGAAAACGCTAACAGAAGTGGAGTGAAGAGTGCAAGGACGATGAGAAGCGCTCACCTGGACGCAGTCTCGCTGCCACGCCACCGGCCACGACCACCGTTCTCCGACTCGCTTGCGCACGCTTGCACGCACTCGCACGCACATACGCGTGCATCCACACGCATTCATCATTCTTGTCGTATTCGTGACGCTTGAGGAGACCTTGTCGTCACTCGATGGGCTGGCTCTTTTTTATTATTGGACTGAAGTGTACTTGCTATCAGTTTAACCTTTTATGGCATCGGTGGGCATGAAATGTTTAGAAAGGGAAATGAAACGATCTTAGAGATGGGTTTCTGTCATGCGCGTACGCAACGCCTCGTTGAAGTGTTAAAGGGCGTATTTGAAGAAATATTCCCTTCGAGCAATGCAAATCGCAAAATACTCTTCAAACAATGCTCATAGCGTTTGCGGGAAAACACCGTGATGTATGCAAGGGAGAGAATTGTCGAGTCAGCCCACGGGGGAGAACCACTGAGCCGAAGGGCAAGAGTCACGCTCGTGAGCACTCGGTGAAAGTCCTTTGGAAGGACCTCGAGCCTCGTGCGAGCTAAGTACCGTTCTAGTCAAGGCAGAGGCTTATCGTTAAAAATGAAGATAAAATAGTAGAACGAGAGAGGTATTCTTGGACACGTCTCTGCAGTTTCTGCTTAAAATAGAAAGTTTAATTTCAATGACCTGGCGGAAAATAGGCTTCCGCAGTCGATCACCCATGCAAATGAAGCATTTTTGAATTTTACACCTTTTTGAGGTCCCCCCAGTCCTAGGTGAAGCAAAATTAGACGTGATTTCGCGTCGAGGTACTTAAAGCAACGGATGAATTCGCCATATGGGCCGGGAGAACGGGAATCCACCTCTGACAGCACTGCGCGGCCCTCTTGATTTCGGAGCACATTCTCGTAAACTGTGGGGGCTCGCACATCTCTCGAGTATTGTGGAAGGGGAGAGATGGTGTCCAGGTCCAGCGGGCGACTGGCACTGGTGTCTGTCGCGATCGCGCGGGTTGTTTTCTGTCTGGTGGACGCGGTCTCGGCGTCGTCGGTTTTCGTAGGCGGAAAGTGTCCACCGGCCGGAGAACATATGTTGTTTGCCGTTCGGGAGACGCGGTGCTGGTGTGTCTGTTTCGGGGGTTTGCTCGCGCGAGTTAAGGGCGTGCGGCGCGAAATTTACCGACAGTCGCTTTTCCGTGTTCGTAACAGTTAGCGGGATGCGACGATAGCGACGGCGAGAAAGTGGGAGAGGAGTTTTCGACCGGAATGCAGGAGGGCTCGAGGGCCGTCGTGATTTATGAATCATACGTGAACTGAGTGAATAGACATGAATAATTTATTTCCTTGCTCTCTGACAATGCCAGTGCAGTGGGGCTCCGTCCGTTCTCTCTCCTCCCTGCTCATCGCCGACCCCGTATCTCCGCAGGTGTTTGCAGGAAACGAAAAGACCGTCGGGTTGTGGTGTTTTATGTCGCTGTTCCGTCGCGGGGTGGTGGCGGATGGGAATGCTCGTGATGTGATGTGATGTGATTCGAGGGAAGATGCGTTTTTGGAGCGACAGGGGACCCTGGACCTGGCACGGTCCACTGTTTGTGATATTTCTCCTTTCGGTCTCTCTAGTCTTTGCGCAGTATGGAGGCCCCGATCGTGGGGACATGCCTCTCTATTCTGGAGAAGGTGAGGCTTCTAAAAATTGACATGCAACTCGTGTCCCTGTTGTGAACCGTTCCGCTGACCGTGTGATTTCGACAGCCGCTATTGTAAGGGGGGGAAATTTTTTTTTTTACTACTCCATTGTGTCTCATGGCGTTTATGGAAGCCCAAACGAGAGGAAACGTGGACTGAAACACCCTTACGATATTGCGTGGTGGAATTCCACGAATCTCTTTTATCTTTCCTCTGGGATTTTCTCCGATCATTTACTTGAGGAATGACTGCAGTCGAAAATTTCATCTGGATATCGCCGCTTGGTCTTGCAGTCATTTTCAAGATGAGAGTTAGCTTTGAACCGGGAGGGAGAATCTTTCCATGAACGGGAGATTATTTCGGTCGGATTTTAAAGTGGAAGGTGGGGAAGAGAGCATGCAGCTGTGTGATGGTTATTTCTGGGATCGGGGTGCAGCAATTCATTCGCACTCTTGCTTTTTCTTGGCTTGAATGCCAAGTCGCAATGGACCGTGGTCTCGCACTTGCCCTTTCCTTCCCCACTCGATTTCTTCGGATCAGCCTCCTTGCCTCGCCACAGCTTCTTCCAAGAGCGTAGGTCGGCGTAACCTAATCCAATAGCAAGCCTCCTTTGAGTAGATGACACTTTGCGAAGTAGATGGGATGTGGGAAGTGACGGGGGTGGAGTGGATGATGCCTGCAGAAAACTCGGTATGGAGGGATGCTGATGGCTGGGACTAAGGATTGTGACTACCATACGGTTTACCCTACTGCTCTATGAGAGTTTACAAATTTATCGAATACTTTATTTTCATTTTAATACATTATTTGAAATCAATGAAATGATTCCGAAAACCAAATGGATGTCTATTTATAATTATAGTAAATTATGGTAAAATGTGAATGATTGCTGAGGGAGGCAGTGCATGGTCATAAAAGAGACATCTGAACAATTGCATAAGGAGCCTCATTTAAAAAAAAAAGAAAATGTATTTCTTCTATAAAAAAAAATGTACTTGCGAAAATGCTGTCGCCAAAGATAGACCAGGGAAATTCTTACCATTACATTTGGGTTCTCTTCTCTCTCCCCCATTTCATACGAGGGTAAGTCAGAAAGTAAGGTTCCCTATTTAATTTCTTCGGAGGGCAGGTAATTACACCGAAGACAATATACAGGAAATGTCCCCACATACGTTTATTATTTACCCACGTAGTCGCCAGACTTGTTGAGACATTTGTCGTAACAGTTGATCAGCTTATTGAAGCCCTGCCGATAGATGGACGGGAACCTTACTTTCTGACTTACCCTCGTACATTCACTATCAGCTACAGAGAGGAAAGAAGGAAGGAAGGTCCAGTTGGGTCTTCTTTATGATGTACAATGAGAGTCAGAGGTACCATTCTTTGTGGCAAATCAGGTAACTCACATTTGGTGAGTAATCTGATTTGCCACTTTCCTCCATTCTGATGATTTTTTTAGTCTCACTTTTAAATATTTATTTTCAGGGTGCAACTGCAATGGTAGGGCAGCCCAATGCTACTTCGACCAGGAATTGTATGAGCGAACAGGGCACGGTGGACATTGTGTTAACTGCACAGGCAACACTGCTGGGCCAAACTGTGAACGCTGCAAGGACAACTTCTTCATGAGATCTGATGGGACTTGCATTCCCTGTGACTGTGATGAAATTGGTGAGCTCTTTTTCTCCTGTCTCCGTTGTGATTGGCATGAATTTGAGTGTTCACATGTTAGTGATTCTTTTCTTCCTGTCATTATGCTGATACATCTATTTCAGGCAACACTGTAGCTATTCTATTGCTGAACCAATTGTTGGGGGTTCATTGAGTTCGAGTACAATATCTAGTCTCTGTTTTTGTGCAGGATCCCGAAGTCTGCAGTGCAGCAGTGAAGGAAGGTGTCAGTGTCGACCAGGAGTAGGAGGTGATAAATGTGACAGGTGTCTTCCAAATCATTATGGATTTGGGCGTCTGGGATGCACCCCTTGTGGTTGCAATCCTGCTGGGAGCCTTGACAACACCCCTAGGTGTGATCCTGGGTCTGGAGAATGTATGTGCAAGAGCAATGTAGAAGGGAGACGCTGTGACAAGTAAGTCAAATTTTAAACATTTGTTCCTCCTTTGGAATAACTCATGCATGATGCTTGAGTAAAGGCATTAAATGCTAAATGTTTCAATTGATCTGCATCACATAATGTTTTTACTGTAATGCATTATATGTGAGTTTTTTTTGTTTTCCAAAAAACTTCTTGTATCATGTGATCTCTGTTGAGTCTAACTCCTCAGGCACTCATTTGTGAAATTGACTGTCTTCATTATCAAATGTAGTGACAATGAATCCTCAATGTTTATGATCTTTGCAGATGTAAACCAGGTTACTTCAACTTGGACATGGGCAACACCTTTGGTTGCACCCCATGCTTCTGCTATGCTCATGCTTCAGTTTGCCATTCAGCACCTGGATATGCCAAGAGTAAGCATTATATGTATAAGGGTATACTTATCCCATTCTTCGTCATGGTGATCATGTAACAGGCATAGAGTCCATAAGATGGCATTGAGACCAAACTCATGCACTGTGTATGTCTTTATGTGCTAAAAATCATAGATCTCTCTCATTGATATGATCTTTGCGAATGAAAATGGTATAGTGCATGTACTGGATTGGAGGAGTACGATTCATATTGTCATGAACCCTATAACAACCAGCAGCACATTCCAAATGAGTAACTTTGGAATTCATGGAGTGGAGTTTATTAATGCTGCTTCTTGGAAAAATAGAATTAATGGGTGATGGCATTATATTACCATCTTTACTCATTAAGCATATTTTTATGTTCTGATATTGCCTATGCTGGTTCCTTCATTGACCTTTATCCTTATCTTGGTTTCACCAGTGAGCATATTGTTTCTCTTCTCCAGCCACCATAGAGAGCATATTTTCAAGAGGTAATGAGCGGTGGACAGCAGAGGATGTGTTTGGACAGCCTGTGGAATTCCAGTACAATGCTGTGTCTCAGAACATAGGGGTCCAAGCTCCCTCAAGAGATGCAGTATACTTTGTGGCTCCTGGTCAGAAGAGTTCCTTTTTACAGCCCTTGAACCTCTGGCATTTAATTAAAATGAATTTCAATTGTCCTTTTTTTGGCAGAACGTTTCCTTGGCGACCAGCGTTCTGCCTACAACCAGCTCTTGTCCTTCTCCCTTCGCATTGGAGAAGTAGGACCCAGAGCCAAAAAAGATGACATCATTATTGAAGGAGCAGGTCTTCAGCTTTCTCAGACCATTTTTGGACAAGGAAATCCTCTCCCAAATGTTCAGGTGTATTTGCTGCCTTGTGCTGTGCAACAATGACTTTGTCATGGAAGTGCATTCAACAGCATTCTCACTTCATTCATTGTTTTATCTTCCGCAGAATCAACGGTATGATTTCCGCCTTCACGAACACAGAGATCATGGCTGGAGTCCTAATCTCTCAGCTCGTGATTTCATCAGTGTCTTATCCAATATCACTGCAATCAAACTTCGTGGAACTTACACTGCTGAAGGTTAGTAGATCCTAGTATGTAACCTGTAGCTTCATCTATTGGGTTTGTGGGAAAGTTCTGTTGTTTTTGCTTATGTACAATTGTATTTATCTCCCAAATATGAATACAGCTAGTGATGAATAATTGAGTGTTTTTGTTTTTATCTTTGTAGATTAGAGTATAAAAGGATGTCATCACTAGCTGTATTTATGTTTGGGAGATGAGTCCAATCGTACATAAACAAAACCAACAGAACTTTCCCACAAACCCAATACATAGAGATTTGCATATGTCTTGGGAGAATTGCTGTATTTTCTGGAGTATTTCAGACCCTAAACTTTCTGGCTATTATAATGCTATAGATGATATGTGCAGTTGGATGGATTATTCTTTGGTACTTTTTGCTCCCTCCCCAACCAGGTTTATAACAAGTGGGGATACGTCTGGGATTAAGCCCCAATGAACCCAAAGACTAGGGCATTGTAGAGCAAGATGTGGTTTGCCCTGTTTTTTTCCCAGGAGCTATCCAAGAAAGATAACGATTATTTTTGCATGGCTGCATGAATAGCTGTTGCACTTAGAAATAGGTGGTGACTTCATTAGAATACAGAAGGAAGATCTCCCATAGATTCTCTATAATATCAAGTTACTCATAAAACCCTGTTCAAGTACATCTGGGATTATTTCAGCAATGCTTTGGCATGAAAGTGTTCTTTCTGTTTTTATTTTTCTTCTTGTGGTCAAAGTTTAGTTTTGAAAACTATTGTTCCCAAGAATTCCTTCTGTCCAAGGATGAAACAAGCTACTCTTTCATATGTAATGCTTCTCAAAGCAAGGAGAATGAATGAAATTTTCTGAATCTTCCTGCCTTTTGATACTATTTAGTTCTGAACCTTTATTCCAACTATGCCAATTCTCTGATTGTGATGAGAGTGAGTCTGAACAAAAGGCACAGAAGCATGGGTAAGAAGCCAACCTTGCTTCTTAATTTATTTTCATTACATTCAATAGTTTTGCAGCAAGCTGTTTCTATATCCAAATTCACACAGAAAAGATTCTCATGAGTGATATGGTGTCAACCAGTGAAGTGTCATAGAAATGAAAACAGAAATACAGCAGGAAAAATGAAATTGTAAATATTTTCTTGCTAGTAGACCTATTTTTCCTATGCAAGGAAAATTAATGGCACTGTATCCTGTTCCAGTTTTTTCTTGTTTTATGATAGGAAGTTCTGATCCTGATCATGCCTTTCTTTTACTCTGCAATCCTCAGAATGTAAATAAATATAAATCACAAGACATGCATATTGATGGCTTGAGTCTAACTCTTTCAATGAACAATAAACTTTTCTTTTTGCAGGTGTTGGTTATTTGGATGATGTACAACTTGAGGTGGCCCAGAGGGGAGCAATTGGATCTCCTGCCAATTGGGTAGAGACGTGCACATGTCCTGAGGGCTTTGTGGGACAATTCTGTGAGTCTTGTGCTCCTGGATACCGTCATGATCCACCAAATGGAGGACCTTTTGCACGCTGCGTGCCTTGCAACTGCCATGGACATGCTAGTATTTGTGACTCAGAGACAGGTGAGTCAACATGTGCCTTTTACTTTTATTCTGTCATTCCATCATATGGTTACCAAGGGCAAATTACCATAATATACCAAACCAGCTTGATTCCGACCCCCCTACTAAAAAGGGAGAACCTACTTCATGGGCAGAGGGTGAGCATTTTCCATCAGGGAATTTGTATTCAGATGGAGAGAGGGAAGGAAATAAGAAACTAGACAGTAAAGTCAAATTCCCTTTCCCAACCTCAGCAGGGAAAGAACAACTTTATTCAGGGTTACCTCACTTCTCTGACCTGTCTGTGACAAAATGTCAGAGCAAGTTTTCAGTCTAGGATGCCCAATAGTGCAATCTATTAGAAAGAAATGAATCTGAGATGGCTCATCAGATGGAGAGGGACATAAACGAGACTTCCACATGAGAACCAGAGCACAAAGAAATTTTGGTTTGCATGCAAACAGGGTCTATCAATTGTTGAATCTCCACCAATCTACAGGAAAGAGATATTAGTATCTATTTCAGTACAATGACCAACATGAACCTATGAAATTATTGATTTCCTGATATGAGGGTTTCTGCTTCAATTTTCCCACTGATGTGTGTTTGCTCCTAGGCCCTCACCCATTTTCCCACCAATGAGACTGCATTGAGTTGATACTACATGAGGAAGGAGCATGACTATTTGCAATTTCTCCTACACATGGACTTATACGGGGTCTTGTAAAAGTCATGCAACCCATCATGTACAACATTTTTTGAGCAACTTAAATTGAGTTGAATTAATCAAAATTGGCTTAATATAGAAGGAACACATCTTACCCATGAAAAAAAGTGCAATAGGAAGTTTTGGAAGTGACCGTCGTGTACCTGCAAGCACATTACAAAAAGCTTGTGCATGTTCACACTCAACATAGTGTGAGGTAACGCGAGTAATGCGGGCAATGGGCTGTACAATGTTTTGCTTCAACATTTAAAAGTCTATGGTATTGTTAGCATATACTCTTTCATTAAGGTATCCCTACGGAAAATAGTGAGGTCTGGAGACCAGAGATTCTTGCTTATGAGTGGTTGCTCTGTCTTGTTGAAAGCATGAATCACGTTCATCAATTTCTATCTTGGTGATACATTGCTGAATGATGTGTTGATAATGTTCACCATTCACAGTTTCTGTGAAAAACATGAGACCAACAATACCCAATGCAAGGGATTATGTATATATTCCAACAAAAACATTGCAACAGCACTTGTTTATATATAGGGTTGCATGACTTTAGAAAGACCCTGTACATTAGAATTTGCTGCATGAAGATCTCACTTCAGAAATATTTGGAAATTTTCACATTTAAGTTAATTTCATGATTAAACCTGAAAAACAAAGAAGAAAAAACTATTTTTATTGCAGGAAAACTGTATGGCTCACCAAATCCCTTGATCCCTTCATACCTGTTCCATTGAATTACATTTCACTCTATTCAAAGCAGAGATCAAGAGATAGCTTAGGTTCTGTATTGCTGTGTCATTGTTGATAGTCACTGTGCTGTTGCTGGAGGTGTCTTTTACACAATATTGCAGAATTCCTGAGCAAATTGTGCACAGCACAAAACAGAGAGTTTGCATTGCTGATATATGCCACAGAGCATGCTCATATGTTTACATGAATAGGTAATTGAGTACAGAAGTCATTTTTCAAATTAAGTCATTTTTTTCCTGGACAAGGAAAGAAAAGAGGCTTTGCTTTCACAGTCTGGTTTCTTTGTATTTCTCCTTCCCTTCCTCCTCTCTCTGGATGTGGATTCCTTTGAGGGGTAATGCTCTCCCTCTGCTCTTCATATTTGAAAAGGCTCTGCCTTTTAGCATGTGGGGCCAGAATCAAGTTGGTTTGGAGTGTTTTTAATGCATTGAGCCCTAGAACCATAATTTTACATTTTGACATAGTCTAGTTTTCATGTGCCTGGGACTCAATGTGTTAACACACCATATGCACAGATGATGATCTTGTATTGTGTAAATGTCTTGTTAGACTTGACACCAGTGAAAAACTTTCAGCTGTAAACTGCACAAAATGGTGTCAGTATGTCCCAGGAATTAGGGTCATTTTGTGTGGTTGTGAAAGAGGGCAAATATCTAATCTTAGACTTTTTCCACAGGTCAGTGCATCTGCCAGGATAACACAGCAGGTGCAGCTTGTGAACTCTGTGCTCGGGGGTACTATGGTAATGCGCTGCAAGGCACAGACAATGATTGCCAACAATGCCCATGTCCAGATGGTGGAGCATGTCTCCAGTTGTCTGACAACACTGTTGCATGTCTTGAGTGCCCAAAGGGATATGCGGGTGAGTGCATAGTTGATCCTTTTTTGTGTTATATAAGCTGTTTGTGATATTTCAATTATTGCTCTCAATTATTAATTTAAAGTAGCAGTCTCAACCTTGCAGGATTCTACAAATGGACATTAAAGAAACTTAAGCCATAACCTGCATCATAACCTATTGCAGTCTACTGTTAAACAGGTTATGATATTATTACTTTCCTTTGCAGTCTGTAGTTGGAGCTTATCTGACAGCTATCCCTTGTTCTAGCCCACTTACAGGAGATGGTTGAATCTTATTGTGTTTTATATAATCACGCAACATGCAGTTATCTGAGTCATATGAGTCCTACTAGATTCTTAAGAATTAGGTTTTTATAGTCAATGCTTGAAATAACAAACTTGAAGGGACAGGGTAAAAAATTTCCTAATAAGGAAAATTCATTATAGGAGAATCTCATTTAGCTGAAAAAAAGATACCTCTTCAATGAAATGTCATTTATTGTCAAAGGATGTAGTCATCCATTTGACTGAAAAATAACCAGAGATAGTTGAAGGCTTTGAACAAGTGTGTGGGATGTGCAAAATTTAGATACAAGATGAGATTTTCTTGGAAATACATGAAAGAAAGTAGCTCTGATGTGTACAGTGGACTTGAACTTCATAATACGGAACAGTTTTCTTACTTTGAATGAAAAAATCATCTAGTAAAACTGAACAATTCACTATACAGAACTTTGTTATAGAAAAACTTTTCCACATGCATGTGAATGGGTGAATGGCCAGGAACTTAAACAAAATTTGTAATAGAGAAAACTCATTATATAGAGGTTCAGTATATTGTGTTGACTGTATCTTTATTATAAATCACAAGATTCAATCATTTTAATGTGTTTATGAAGTAATGTATTTAATAATGTATTTATTGTATTACAACCTTCATTTCATCCTTGATTGGATCAACTTCATAAATTAGTTCAGCAAATGTTATTTATCATTAACATGTTGGCTGCTGAGTTAATTTTGCTAATTCTTTCCTATGGCACTGCATGACATACTGGTGTGTCATTCTGGAAGTTTTTATTTTACCCTTGGCATGGTACAAAACATGCACTGTGACATTCTAATGTGTCATGAGGTGGTCAACATGTTACTGTTTTCTTTGGTTCCTTTAATATTGTGTCACCCCTTGCTTTTAGTCCATAGTTCAATTCGTCAGCCGTATTCATTACCTCAAATTCATCTCTTTTTTTTTTCATCATGAATAAAATTTTGAATTATTTAGTCATGATCTTACTGTCTTTGTGAAATCACTGTTTTCTTTAATGAAATTAAAATTGCTTGGAAATCTATTTTCAAATTGAATCCTATAATTTGAATGTATCCAGTGAACTCCTATTATGCTTGGTGCATCTTATCTTTTTAAGTGAATTTAAAATGTCATTATTGTACTGAATTTCTCTAACCAATCCCTGTTTGCATTTAAGTTGCATATTTTTGAAGAGAGGTCAAGCATATGATGCTGTGTGTGGGCTGGGGACTGGAGAGTCTCAGATGATAAGACAAACTTGAATAAATGAGAGGAGGAATGAAATTAGCTTGAAGCTCTATTTGCTCTCCTGGTATTTTCCCAGCTCTGTTGATTGATGACAAATACCAATGACCCTTTTCCTGAACCAGGACATAGATGTGAGCTGTGCACTGATGGCTTCTATGGTGATCCCACTGGACAGCATGGAGCCAAAAGGCCATGCCAACCATGTGATTGCAATGGCAATGTAGACCCAAATGCAGTTGGCAACTGCAATCGCACTACTGGTGAATGCCTCAAATGCATCTACAGCACTGGTGGTGCCCGTTGTGATCAATGTCTCGCTGGTGAGTTTTCTTGACTCTGATTCATAGTCCTGAATATAATTGCTGTGTTAAAATTCACCTATGGGATTGATCTCTCATTAGGTTATTTTGGAGACCCACTCGCTTTCCCAAAAGGGGATTGTAAAGCATGTGGCTGCAATCCCTATGGAACTGTGCAACAGGAAAAGGGAGTCACACTTTGTGATCAGCTCACTGGTCAATGCCAATGCAAACGATATGTCATTGGCCAAAAATGTGACCGCTGTGCAGATGGATACTACAACTTGAGGAGTGGAGGGGTCTGTAACATTTTTGTATCCATTGAGTTCTCATTTCCCACTACTTGCTATGTAGCAGGGGGTATTTCTAATATATATTTCTGAGTTTAACATATTGGGGCATATTATATCTTACTAGGGCTGTCAGCCATGCAATTGTGATCCTATTGGCTCAGTGAACATAACATGTAACACGGAGACTGGTCAATGCTCCTGCAAGCCTGGTGTGGTAGGCCTGCGATGTGACCAGTGTACTGCATACTCATATGGCTTCTCCTTTGAAGGATGCAAGCCATGTGAATGTGATCAAATAGGTAAGAGAGATATAATATTTCTTCAAGGTTGCATGCCTTGTATGACATGCATGATCCAACCATTGCCTCAACTGGATGTTTTTGATAGGTTCTGTGAATCTTCAGTGTGAAAAGAATGGACAATGCCCTTGCCGTGATAATGTTGAGGGAAGGCAATGCAATCGATGTAAGGAGAACAAATATGACAGACAAGCAGGATGCCTTGACTGTCCTCCTTGCTACAATCTTGTCCAAGAGGCTGTGAATGTTCACAGAGGCAGGTTGACAGAAATAGAAGGGTTGTTAGATGAGATTGCAACCAATCCAACAGTTGCAGAAGACATTAACTTTGAAATGAAGCTGCAAGAGATCCAAAGAAAAGTAAATCAGCTCCTTCATGATACTCGATCATCTGCTGTGGCTGCTGCAGGTGAGTTGCTTCAACCTAGATTAAATGAAGCTTGGGAGTTGAGGTGCTATTGCATTGAATATGTTGAATTCAAACCTTTCATTTTCCTCAAAGGCAGTGAAAAGAGTTTGGCTGAGCAGCTGGAGGAACTGTATAATCGCATCGATGAGCTCCGTTCACGTATAGCTGACATAGCAGACAGAGTGACTGAAGCAGGGGAGAAATCCCAAGATGGAGAGAGGACAATTACCCGGGCAGAAACAGTGATTAGAGAAGCCAAGAGTGAACTAAAGGTAATCAGTGACCAATCTTGATTACATCCATGGTTAACATAAAGTTGAAAGGCATCATTTTCCTCCTCAAGAGTGTACAACGTTTTCTGGAGTCAGAGGGACAAGATGCATTGCAACGAGCAAAGGAACGATCAGAACAGTTTGGACAGCAAAGTGAGCGGATGTCTGACATATCCCGAGAGGCACGCCAGCTAGCTGACAAGTGAGGTTTTTTTTTTCTCCCATGTGTCTTGTCTGAAGAACACTACAACTTGATTCTTGTTTTTTCTTGAATGTAATCATTGTAATTCATCATTCTCTTCAATAGGCACGAAGAAGAAGCACGGCAGATTGAAACAATGGCACGTGATGCCTTCAACACCTCCTTGACAGCATATAACCTGGCTGTGGAAGCAATTGAACAGCAGCGGCTTACCAGGTTGATTAATAATTATCTGCTTCTTTGCTGATTGATATCCAAATAGCAGTCTTGTGATGACAGAATAGTTCCCTGAGGAGAAATATCAGTATGGTCCAAATGAAGTCTAGAATTAAAGAACTTGAAGTCAGACTGTAAACTTTGTTTTATATCCACGTGCCCAATGTTTAATTATAAATAATTCCTTTATGTACAGATAGACCGTTGAAAGAATTGACAAAGGCTACTGATGTGAATAAATCTATTACCACTATAACATAACTATAAATCTCTGAATAAATATTTTACATAACTTAGTAACTGCACATTGACTCCCAAAGTAGTAAAAGTTTCCCCCAATTCACATGGTATCCTAAGAAAACTGAGTTTCCAAAAGTTTCTGTGGTCCCCATTCTGTTGAATGTAAGTTTCTCATAGAACATCTGAATGTTGGTAGCCAGTCTTTCAAACAATTGTTACAGTCCTTGAGCAGCTTTTTCCCCAAAACAGAGACCAATTAACTTTATTATAGCAGAAGTATGGAAATGTCTTCCAATTGAGAGTACACATTCAAAATTCCAAGCAAAGTCTGAACCCTTTCAAGTCATGCAGCAGAGCAAAGTCTGCTCTTTACAGGGTTGGGATAGAAATACATTTTGATCATGTGGTATTAGTTGATGCACCAAGTGAGTGGTTCTTTCTTTCTTTTTGCTTACTCTGTGACTGGCTTAAACAAAGGATAGAAGTGCAAGTGAGTGAAGGTTTTGGTACATTAGTCCTACTAAGGTTTGCAGTTGTCATGTTATGTTGAAGTTCTTGATTAATATTTACAACTTATATATGAATTACAGCCAGAATTTGTCAGCTCTTGACCGAGATGCAGATCGGACCCTGCAGCTCCTTGCTGAAACCAAAGACCTCTCAGCCCGAAGTCAGGAACAGGCCACAAAGGCTGAGCAGGAAGCCTTATCAATTATTTCACAGGCCAGGCTCTTGTCTCAGTCTAGTGTTGATGTCAGTGGCCTCAAGAAAGATGCAGAGAAACTTAAAGATGAAGTAAGCATTCCCTTTATATTTTCAATGCAAGTTGATAATATCTTCAAATTGCAGATCCCATTCAAAAAAATGCTGAGAGCCTCTTTGTGCAAATGTGCATGGTAACTCTTGGCTTCAAATCAGTTCCATTATTCAGTGAAGATGCTGATGTGCTAGATGTCAGAGATAGTGCATGCCCCTATGCTATATCAGACATCGTCATTTGCTTTTCTACATAAGTTTCACACATATACATGTTCTTTATGAGTACTATTTGTATTTGATGTGAATCAGGTGAACTGCATGAAGGCCATCAATTATATTTGAATGACCTGCTCCTTTTTTTTTATTCAAACCATTCTAATGTGCAAACAATTCCAATGTCCGTTAACACATTCGCTGCCGATGACGCACCTTGTCATTATCCTTTCCATAGGAAAGTGCATCTTTATGATGATGATGCATCGGCATCGGCAGTGCATCGGCAGCAAACGTGTAAGCGAAGGAAGGGAAACTCTTATTAGAGTGGTTGTCATGCCTGGTGGAGGGCAAGGACAGTTATGGAGGGACGATTAGGGTTCACACTAGCTTTTTTAAATCTTGAGTCCTGGCACCTAGCTTCATCTCAGTGGGAACATGTTTAGGTAGTTGTCAATGAGTCCCACGGACTTAGGTGTTTTGCAGATATGAGTCAGGGACTCACTATAGCGAGTTAACGTGAACCCTGAGGGTAGACTATGAAAAAATTAATATATTTTATTCTTTAGTTATGTTGTCAAATATGCCAATTCTGCTGATTCTATGCCACACTTAGTTTCCTCTGCTTTAATTCTCTGTGAATCAGAAACTTGGTCAAGTTTTATATTCTTCCTCACTGTCTAAAGTTATTCCAAAGAAGTAGTGCCATGGAATGATAGGAAAACTTATCATATCACATGACGTCTTGGAGATGGTGGATGTTTGGGTCAAGTCTGCACTTTGGTGTATTCAGCTTTGGATGGAGCCTCAAAAGCACCCATGTAAAATACAGACATGCACTACCCATAGTGCTTGTTGTTTCCTTGAGTGTTTCTACCCATCAACCAGTTCAACTCATTTTACTATAGCCTGCCATGCATATGCATGGTGATAGTGAAACTTAGGGTCGATTTTTGAACAGAGAACTATCCGATAATGCTGCTTTATTTACCGGATTTATAATGCATTTTCTCTGAAATAAAGCAGCATTTTCGGATAATGCTCTGTTCAAAAATCGACCCTTAAGATGTTTTTAGTCGATTTTTGAACAGAGAACTATCCGATAATGCTGCTTTATTTACCGGATTTATAATGCATTTTCTCTGAAATAAAGCAGCATTATCGGATAATGCTCTGTTCAAAAATCGACCCTTAAGATGTTTTTAACCAGAAGGAATAATCACACAGGTGAACACTCTTATAAGAAAATTGCTGAATGAGCTATCTCATTCGCTAAATGATACGTGAGCTACAGACACCTCAGCCCTGCTTGATGAGGGAAGAGACAACCCATGATAAGACCCAAAATTCACTAGCATTGAATGAAATCTTTAAGTTCCTTTTTTTTTCTTTTCTATTATATGAAATTAGCAATCTATTTCTTGGAATGGTATGTTATGTAACTAGTGTGGAAGAGAAGGACAAAATATTTCATGGTCATCCTTGTCATTTCCTAGGCCCAGCGAATTAACGATGAGGCCAGAGACTTGATGACGGATAATTCAGCCTTGATGGGGCAAATACAGAATCAAATGAAAGATGCTGAGCAGTTGAAGCAGAGAGCAATCTCTCAACAACAGGTAAGATGGTTCAATTAACTCCCAAGTTCATCTTTGGTAGTGGAATTGCCAGACTGGTATCACAAGTCATGTATTATGGATGCCATTTCCATTAAATTGAGTTTCAGTTGGTTCCCAAACCTTGTGATGAATGAATTCTGCATAGACCCATTTCTTTCTCTTAAAGGCATTGATATGGAAAAATTATTAATGAAGATAGGATTGAATTTGGTGAAATAAATTTAGCTTTTGGTGAAGCAAGCTACTTTCACTTTAGACAAACTATGATGATTGTTTGTACCATGTGGCAGCTTCATGAAACCAGGGAGCATGTGATAGTCTGAGAAGACACCAAAGGTGTATGTTGGGGAATCACCAAAACTCAACTAGCATTGAATTATTGAACCAAACACACCTATACTCAAGGAACAGTAAGGTGAAACCTTATGTGAAACTTCATGTGCACATAGGACAAGAAATATGGAATCTATCAAGGAAAATAATTGTAGGCTGTTCTGAAGAAGGCATACTTTGGACTCTGAGTTTGTTTGAAAAGTCATCTCACAGGTAGCAAATGAGAGATGATTATTCTGTATTTGAAAAATACCTTAGTGAAATAAATTCAGATTGAGCAGATTCTTTGATATTTGAGTACAATATACAACAGTAAGTTGATTAAAGTTTGATCAAGTGATCAATAAGCAAGTGAATAACTTAAAATGACTAATATTTATTTGTCAATTAATAGTCATATCTATAATGTTTTATTTCAGGAAGCTGATGGTCTACTTGCTGATGTTGATGCTGCTCATGCAACCGCTGATGAAGCCGTTAAGAAGGGTAATGCAATCTTAGAGGATGCCAAGAAAACCCTTGAAACGCTTCAAGGTGAGAATAAAGGCCTGTTCACACTAACAGATTTTTTGGCAAGAGATGTAGGTATTTACTAAGGAGAAATCTAATTGTGCCCTGCTAAAACAATAATCAGAAAAGACTGGTTATGATGGGTTTTCTGACCAGTATTGCTGCCAGGCTTTGAGTTCAGGGGAGTCCAGATGCTAGCATTCCCCTCTTCCTTTGGACTAGTTGGGGGCCATGTGTCTTTTGACAGATCATAGTTGCAAGTGGGTAGAGAGAGGACTTTTGTTTTGAGGGTACAGAGTTACTCTCAGGGTGCAGACTTGGCTTCTACTCCAAGATTACTATTTTCACAGATTTTCCCAGGGAAGAGTAGAAAATTCTCTTCCTTTTCCCTCTAACAGCTCCAAGACACTTCCTCAAGTCATACATTGCAATCACTGGGTGCCTTACACCCTTGCTTCATTTTGACATATTGGGGCTTCAATGTTAACCATGAGGGTCATCCCAAAAGTTCAAGAACATTTCATTCTACATCAAGTTGAAACACCAAATGCAGCATTATTCCAAGTGAACTTTATCTATGTACTACCCACACAGCTGCACACACTTCTGCCACTGTTATATCAGCTTGAGTCCTTCAGTAAACCAGTTTGCTGGGGTCACTGGTTCACAGCAGTAGCACACTCCTGCAAATTCGAATAGTGCTTTTCCTGCAGAGGTTTTTTTTTCTCGTATCTAAAAAAAGCCAGTAATCATAGAGAGAGCTCCAGTGAGTGGGAGGGGTGCAGCAGCAGTTCATAGCCCAGCTTCTTATTCATAGCCAATGTTGCCTTGCTGGTGTCAGGCCATGTGCTGTCTTGTTGGAGTAAAACTTTGCATGACCACTTTCCACTGTGCTTGTCTTTGACTGCCTGCTTCAACTTGGTCAAAATTGAGATGTAGTAGTCACTGTTGATTTTTTGCTTGTGTGGCAGTCACTCAATAAGCAAAATTCCCTCATAGTCCCAGAATATGATGGCCATTCACTTTCCAGCAGAGGGCACTGCTTTTGCATTACCTTTTGCCATCCACTGATTGCTCTGTGCCTTGGACTTTGGCTGGTAATAATGAAAGCATGACTCTGCCAGTCACTATTCTATGCATGAACTCAGTTGGTGCCATGCCATACATTTATAGTAGCTGGCTACAAATGGTCACACTTCATTTCAGTACTGAGCATTTTGGGCAACCAACAGGCAACTAACTGTGACATGCCCAGTTGTTCAACCAAAATGCTGCTACTTGACATGCACATGTTCAATTTGAGTGCTCATAGTAGCCTCTATTGGCTGAGCTGACCTTGGCGAATCATCCATTGTAACTCATCCTGCTTCAAAGTGATGCACCCACATGTTTATGACACTTTTGCCAAAGCTTTGTCCCCATAAGCTTCTTGCAGCTCATGACCAATCTGGGCCTGGGACTTTTTCTGTTTCCACAGAAAACAAGTCCCACCTCACTGGACCTGATCATCTTCTTCCATAGTGGTAAAATATTGGTCTACTTAAAAATGCAATCTTTGCAATAGGAAGGAGCAATTACACCATCATTCCTATGTTATTACCATGAGACATCAACATGAACACTATGATAAGACCATTACTGCCAGATCACATGGAAAGAAAATATTCACACTTGTTCTCGAACTTTTGGGATGACCCTCATATGCTGCATCTGACCCTAAGAACAGTGGTGATTGGTGTTTAAATCAAGGATTCTACAATTCAGAATCTGACCATGTGAATAACATTTGAATACTTATACAAGTACTCCACTGAAGTGCTTCAAGTTGTGCTTTTTGATGTTAAATATGAATGTGATATTACTGTAGGTTTTGACATGGAGGTTCAGTCAAGCAAGGATGAGGCAATGCAAGCATTGAGTGAAGTAGACGAGATTGAAGATCTAATACGAGAGGCCCAGGATCTTACAAAAGATTCTCAACAGGCTCTCAAGGGTGCCCAGAGCAATGCACAAGATGCTTGGAAGGTGGCCAAGGAGGCTGAAGAGACTGCTCGCAGAGCCTCTCAGGTCTGTGACACTGACTTACATTTTACATTCCACATTAGATCTAACAATGATGTCCTTAATCATGGCCAATGGCTTAACACATATATTGACTTTTTTCATATTTCTATATCCTTTGCTGTCATGCATCTTGACCATTTCTGAACATTTATGTTTGAGCTGCTTCTATGAAATAATAATAAAAATAAAACCAGCATGCTTGCTTATTCTGTTTGTAAATAGAAGTAAACAAAGCAAAGGTGATGACACAGTGGAGAGTATGCTGATATGCTGTATGACAGCAATTCAGCATGATGTAGAAACTCTTCGTCTAAAATAAGTTTCATTCTCTTCCTCAAGTTTTTCACTGAATAGTGTACTCCAGTAAAACAAACCTAGATTGGAAGGTCAAACATTTAGTATGTAGTAGCCTTAGCATAAGTAGTCGTAGTAATAGTGGTAATAGTAGCCTTAGCACGGGAGTGTGGAATGTTATTTAACGTGGCATTGTACTTTGCATGAAATAACAGGAGGCAGGAGAAATACTTCGTGATGCCCGAGACACAAAGCACAAAGCAGATGCAACAAGAGGGCAGGCTGAAGATACACAAAGAGAGGCCTCGCAGACTAAGTCCACTTTGTCAAAGTATGAGGAGCAAGTGAAAGAGGATGCTGAACTTTCATTGGAGGCATTGAAGCGAGCCAACGCTGCAAAAAACAATGCACAAGAAGCATCCAAGAGTGTTGCCAAAGCACTTGCTGAAGTGCAGAAGATCCTCTCAGATCTCAACCGTCTAGAATCGCCGAAAAAAGATGAGATTGAGGAGCTGGAAAGGAAACTGAATGAGACAGAAACAAGGCTCCAGCAAGCAGGCCTTGAGAGCATTTTGACAGACCTGAAGGAGGCTCTTGCTCTCCAGGTATGACTTATAATTTCTTGTTCTTGGCATCATGTTCCCAAAGGAGCACTTCAAAACTGTATCCTCATTGAGGTTCTTTGTTGATGTGATTATGATTAATATGGATCAATATGAAGGACAACCATGAGGTGTACTAATCAAAACTTGCAATTAAATTCCAATAACAGAACTGGTCATGAAGAACACTAGAAAAGGAGGGGTTTATTTAGCATCCACCCCAACACTTATTTAATTGCCTAAGGTAAGAGAAGAACGAATTCAAGGCCTTTGACTTTTTTTAAAGGTAAATCTTGTTTTTTAGTTAGTTTGAAAGCTCTCTAAAAATATGTATTCTTTCCTGGAGCTAATATTAATTTCCTTATCAACAATACTATCCACTATCTATCAGTCACTATCATACTATCAACAATACTACTAAATAGTCTGAAAAGTAAGCAAGAGCTCTATACATTCATACATAATTTACATTTAGACTAGTTTTAAATTTAAATAGATATTTATATTAGATTGATATCACTAGTCAAGTAAAGGTGAGGAATGACCCCTGGCCCACCTGATCCCATTTCTGCATGTTTTTTTTGTCACTTAATCAGGCTTTATACACTGTGAGGTTTCACCCATTTGTTTTCAGACTCCATTAGGTAGCATTTTATGTGAAATACCTGCAGGTCAGGAATGATCCCTTTTAGCCTTCTTAAATTTGTCAGTTCTTTGCAACAAGAGTTTACCTAAGACAATCTTCCCACACCACTTTATGGGAAGAATGCAATCCAAAGGTACCCTATAATGAAGTCAAAGAGAGCTATGGTCACTTGGGAGAAATAAAAAATCTGATGTAAGCAGGCTTATCGGGTGATCAAAGCTCGAATAATTTCCTCTTGTAGGGTTCTATATTCCTCAAAGATTAGCTCCATCTTCATTTTTCAGCTGCTATAATTGGACATTGAATTTAAAATGTTGTAGTACTAGGGGAGTGAGGAAAAAAAGGACTCCCATTGCAGATGACCTTGTGAGCTTTCCTGAAAGTCATACAATCATGTGTATGATATGTAGGGGCCTATAGCTAGGTCATGATTTCACCTTGTCTCTCTATTAACCATGGATATAATTATGGATTAGTGTTATATTTCTGTGTAGATTCATACATGCTCTTTAGTAAGCTTTTATGCATAGGTTATGAAAGCATATGATTGAGGCTGTCATTCTTTCTTCATTTGCTTGAGAAATTGAGGATCCTGAAGAAAATACAATGCACAATGGATCATGGCATCACAGTAGCTTCAGTATAGAGAATTTTATTGAGGGATGCAGCAGTGCAATCGAGGGCTATGCAGAAAGTGTAGTGATTTGTAGATCCTGTGATTGCCTATGATTTGGATGCTAATCTGAAGTACAAGAGGAGCATTGCAAGATGTTGTTCTTTTGTACCAAGCATGACTAATTCACTCTAAATAGGGCTTGAAATTGACAAACTTGATGCAATCAATTGTGGCTCTTTCAGGCAATCACTAGAATTTAAATCAAGAATAAAAAATTCCATGAGGACATTAACCTTCTTTTTGTAGCTTTCTGTGATAATCTCTGCTTACTTACCCTTGAACCTCAGTTAAGGAGGGAATTAGGGTACCTTCTATTTACCAATATATACTGGAAATCCTGATTAACTCATTTATTTAAAGTGAAATTTCCATATAAAAGTACACAATTATTCCCTAATAATTGGAATCATATGATTTAAAGTCATCATTGTTATTGCATGTCATTTAGTTGCAACATGCTTGACCCAATAATATTTTTCATTATGCAGTCAATAGCGTATACAGGGTGGCCATGAAGTCTGGAAACATAGGATATATTAACACTTTCAGACCCAGTGTCCAATCCAATGGACATTGCATTTCCATTGCATTAATGGTAAGTTCTAGGAATTCTTGTGACTATGCATCCCATATTACACTATAATGGGTGCAATTACGCATGGCTCAATTCCATCAGAGGCCTTCTCTCACCCATCAGTTTTGGAATCTTCAGTTATGTAACTACATGCATTATATATAATATATGGTATGGTATGGTAAATTAATACAACATATAAAAACGAAATATAAAACAAAAGTTTAAATTAGAATAGCAAAAGAGCTCAAAAATGCAAAAAAGTTGTTCTGATAGTGTTCTGATTATTGTTCTGATAGTGGCCTTAATTCAGGTCTGAAAGGGTTAAGATAATTTTTGGAATGGAAATGCAAATTTACTTAATCGGGTTCTTCAACACTTCAAACATCAACTTCAAATATGTATTGATTCAATGGGAGAACATTTTAAACATTTATTTTAGCTTATTTGTACATTATCTTAATATGTCCTTGATATGATCCTGTTTCCAGACTTGACGGCCACCCTGTAGTTTCCCTGGAATAGGCATTTCCTCAGAATCAGTTTCACTCAATCAATGCATGGTTAATCTGACAATATTCTGTTATATAAATATATACATAAATTCTGTCAATTTATTAGTTTGTCTGCTATTGTCATCAAGTATTCTTCATGAAGAATGATAATTGCACTGTTAAGCAGTTTGAGTACCAACAAAATGTATACTTAATTATTGGCATTTTAGAAACCTGCAGAAATTCTTGTTCATGGAGTCCATGTCATCTTCCATGACACTGCCCAGCTCAAATGAGATTCATTCAGGGTGCTCCAAGTAGAAATAGGTGAATTTTGAAAAGAAGGCAGAATTCCTGCCTGTGCTCAGCAGTTAATAAATTTTTGGAATGCATCATTCAATTGTTGCTACTATGTTCAGTCAAGCTGTGAAAATTCAACCCTGAATAGTTCATGATAATACAGCAATAACTAGGTCTGAACCTGCAACTAGGAAGCATTGGTTCTCATCCTGGATTATATTACCAAAGGAAATTATAATGATCTGCTAGGTTTTCTCGTTGCTCAAGATGTCTCTTCATGGGATTGATTCCATGTTCCTGCATATGCTATCTGATTCTTATCATCTCCCCTTTTCTTCCCACATTTGCTTTCCAGGAAAAATGGGTTGGCAATTATAGGGATGAACTGGAGTGGTTGAAAAGGGAGGTGGACAATATCGAACTAATAAAGAAGAGCCTGCCTCAAGGATGCTTCAAGCAACTCAAATTGGAGCCAGAATAAAGGATGGACTGCACCATCCCCAAGCTCTCTTTCTTCATTTCTCCCTTCTATTTTCTCTTTTAGCTATGTTTTTACTGCCCTCCTGGTCTATCGTTCCTCTTTCTCCTAACAGCCTCTGTGTATTTCAGAGGAGAGTTACCAGTCCAGTCCATTGGTGCTTGTGTCGTTCATCTCAAAGCAGTTCGACGTCACCTTGCACAGCAAGTCAGAGGAAGCGCTTAAATGTGCTTTTGTTTTTGTATTGTGTGTATGTTTGCAGCATTATGAATGCGTGAGGATTCCAGAAGGATGTATGTAATCTCCTTGCAAGTGTCATTGTCTTGTTCATTCCTCTTTGCCCTTGGTGCATTCCTAGGGATCTCGCCTTTCTGTTGGAAACCCTTGTACGATACTCATATCTTCTTTTAAATTCTAACTTTCTTTCATAACACTGCCAAGTTGGATAATTATGGGATCATGATGGAAGATGAGGGCTCCTGTTTTTTCCAGTGGTGCTACTTTCACTCTTCTCTTTATTGAAGAGATCAATTATCAGACCAAAGATGCTTGCTTGCTTGACATCAGGTATGTATATGCAATTATTTTGCCAGGTGCATTGTACCTCATCCCTTGCATCTCCTGTGTACTTAGTATGAGACTAGGGTGCTGTGTTCTCAAAATTCCAATCCTGTTGTACACAACTCATCCAAGTTCATGCTTCTATAATAGTTTCTTGATACATCCACTCATGGAGCTGGTCTTTTGTATGACTGACGTGTATGTTTGAGAATCCTGGGTATATTGACTTTTCTTCTTATGTCAGCCATTCCTGACAAATACTCGTTTGCTTAGAGGTCAGTTCCTATTACAAAATGGAGATGAATTTCATGAAAAAGAAGAATCTCAAATATCAGTCTTGTGTAAATGTCAAGTGCCATAGTGTAATTAGGTGCCTTCATTGTGCCAAGAGATTATAAAAAACGATGTCTTTGTATGATTGATGCAAGTGTCAATGTTCATTGTGTTTTCCCTCTGCAGACACATTTTGTACATAAAATCCAACTTTTCATTTCTGTTGTAGTTTTTAGACTTTCAATTTCAGTGATTTCATAAACTTGATCTTTTATCTGTTTGAGGATTCAGGTTTCAATTATGGAAAATTTCATGAGTAATTTTCAAATAAAATTATTTCAAATACAAAGAGATGGCCCTGGGGATTTTTTTGCTACCAATAATCTGTGTATGTAGCAGTCTGCAATTATTGTCAATTGCACCATGACTAGAGGCTCTCATAACAGTGATGATGTGAACCATGTAATAAAGTACACTATGTTCTCTTAAAAACTTTTTACATGCTCTATTGCTTGTCTATCTTGCCTGTTGTCACGATTCAAGGACTAGCGCCTTTGGGCATGAGTCTGGCATTGTGAATTGAAACTATGTGTGCCCATGAGGGGAGTTTTAGCCCCAAAATATTGAATAAATTAAAAGTGCTGGTGAAAATTTGTTTCTTGATTGACCACATATCTGGCCTTTGTGTCTTTTTGTTCAAAAATGCCACTTTTTGAGAAGTTCTAGTCTTCCCATTGCTGTTTCATCTGCTGCATCATGTAATACTAAAATATTTTTTTTTTCCCAGGGAAGACTTTTGGAGGCATCACTTTTACATCACTGAGTTACAACTTGGTCCCAAGTGATATTTAAGTGCTACTGCAAATTTTTCCCCTCTCCTTACATATACAATAATATTGGGGAGATTGTGGGTTGCAATAGAAGAGTATAGCAAGTGGAACTAGGAAAACCTTATGAAGCTGTACATGGATAAAACTGGAGATACTCCATTTCCCAGCATAATTAAT